CGTTAAATTATAGTAGTGAAATATGTGGCGTCTTTAATCTCAACAAAGATTTAAAATTTGATTTAACAATTTCGGTTACACGTGATATTCTGAGAACAAAACCGCAGTTCTGGATAATTTTTGGAATTACCAAACTCCATCGACGACTGGTCGATCGGTCTGAAATCCATATCGACACTGGACCGGTAAGTTGTCACATTATTTTATCTGTCGATAGTGATATTTGATGTAGTCAACTGTCAACAGTTTCATTGTACGTCTTCAATGATATAATCAAAGCAAAAGGATAAATAAGACACACCGGTAATGACCGGTCGGTTTCATCTCTGAATCCGAACATTTAATCAAACAGTTCCGCCGATAGGAACTCATCTGTTTCGCAGAGAATGGATGCAAGTACTCTCTTCTAATAGGTATTTTCTTTCTTAAAAAAAATATTTGCATCCATTGTTTGCTGTTCCAATAGTTCAGCTCTTTGAACTGATCCATTCAAAAAATTTTGTTCTATTTTAGGAACAACATTTCAGTAAGAGAAAAAAGGATTTTTATACTCGGAAGCGCCATCCCTAAAATAGAACAATAATTGTTCGAACAGATTACAGTACCTATTTTTAACAGATTCGAACTTGTTGACCTCTGCAGATAAGTATTATTCATTCATACAAACAACTGTTGTTCTAGTAGTTCATATGAGGACATAATCAGGCTATCTCAAAGTTTATCAAGTATAATGATATCTATAATATATTACTTTCTCATCTTTTAAAATATTTAGCCATTTATTTTTCTTCAACTATGACTATTCAAAAAACAAAATAATCTTTAGACAACTAAATCATATTTGTACAAGGCAAATTCATGGAAAGATCGCATATTCAAATTCTCAATCATTTGATTTATTAGCTTTTATAGACGAAGTTACCATTGAATAGATTTTATCAATTAAAAAATAGTTTTCTCCAAATAATTTGACATCACTATTTTCGTACAAATTATTATAATTAAATTGATAAGTAAGAAAAATATGAATCTATTAAATCAAACCTGATTATGATTATTGGCTGAAGGTGTCTGTGGAGAATTATTATTTGTAGCTGAAATTCTTTTCCCAGCTAATGATAATTCACCATTAATTGGTGTTAATGGTGGTGGAGGATTATTTGAAAACATTGATGGTAACTGTTGTTGTTGTTGCTGTTGTGGTGATCCAGGATATGATATTTGTTCTCGTTTAATTTGATTTGGATTTAAGAGTTGAGAAGAATTTGGTATAAATTGTTGTTTATGATGAAGTAATGATTGAAGATTTGGATTTTGTTGATATCCTTGAGACATTAAATGCATTGAAGAATGATATTGTGATGATAGAGCATTTGGATCATATTGTGTATTTTCAAGTCGAGTGATATAACGTTCATCTTCATCATCCATTTCACCACCCATTAAGGATGGTTCACCAACAATCATTACATCCTATAATTAGATTTTTCTATTTCAAAAAAAAAAAAAAGAAAACAAATAAAGATCTTCTTACTCCTGGCATATTATTCATTGTTTGTGTTGAAGGTTGAGAATAAATATTATTAGCAGGTGAACGTTTTTTTGTTGTTGTTGTTGTTGTACAATTATTTATATTAGAATCTTTCGTTGGTGGTAAATTAGTATTATTTACTGCTGCAGATTTTCGTTTTCGTCTTGGTTTTGCTGTTTGTCGATTATCTAATAATTGAAAAATTTATCAATCAAAAAAATTTCTTTAATCTTATTCTTTTTTTTTACCTGAACAAGTTTTTGACCAACGTTGATGTAAAAGTGTTTTTAAACAATCACGTGGAGAAAATGTTGTAGTTTTATGGCGAGACATTAATTCTTGCATAGGTTCAAGAATTTCACATAACTAAAACATATATATATATATATATATGTATTAATTTTCTAAATAGTAAAAAAAAAAACAAATTTTTTACCCTGAGAAAATTTAACATTGATATTGTTAATCCATTACGAGTAATATTTTTTGATAATTGATCAAGATACATTGGATTATCGGTCTAAATATTGATTTTTCTTTAAAATTGTAATGAACATGACAAAAATTTTGTAATATTCGATAATCAAACTCAAACAATTTAGACTCGGTGCATGTCTAATGAGAGAAATCTCCCAATTGAATAAACACTTTCGAATTGGGACTATGTACATTATGTAGATTCTAATGAACTATGAATATCATGAAAAGAGTTCGTGTCCTTGGCATACTGCTGTGGAACTTCGAGAAAAGTTGAAATTTTGTAGAGATACATTTTAATGAGAATAGTTTATTGAGAGAGTTTAGGATTTTTCTTTTGTTGTGCCTATTCTAAATTATGACTATGATAAAAAAAAGAGATCTAAAACTTCTGCAATAAATTATCCTCATTAAAGTTTATCTTAGTACAAAATTTCAAATCAATGATTCAATTTTCTTGGTGTTTTACGGCATTGAATTAAGAATGTAGTATCTCTTCAGAATATTCATAGCTCATTAGAATCTATATAATACATATAGCTCTAACTCAAAAGTGATTAATCAGTTGAAAGATTTCCCTCGTAAGAAAGCGATACTATGGCGCCGTCATTTTTCTCAATACCAAAAAAACACTGAGAGAGAAACGACGATTTACGGTACAGCACGATGAAAATTTAATACAGCTATACAACATTTTAAAGCCATTTTAAGAGACGTATGATCAACAAATTTCCCATACATAAGAAGGTAGCTTCTAGGGAAATTCCTTTCTCAAATTCTCAAAGGTATCAATCTTTATATAAATTATCAAAAAAGTAAAAGTCGATTACGAAATACACACGAAGCAAACTTTGATATTCTACCCCATTAAAGTTATATTGAACTTTTATAGAGTATAGAAACGATTATCTATGAAAAATTAATAGTTTCGTAGGACAGAGACAAATGCGATACGTTATGAAAGTTTTTTGAGATCTAAATTGAATAATTCCTGTATGGTTATACATACCGGTATAGCAACAACACTTCGTGGAATTAATTCTCGATGTTGTTTTATAGCAAAATGCCATGATTTAATACGCATTAAATCGTCAAATGTAAATTCAATATTAAAATGTCCTTCGGTACAAACCTACAAAAAAAAAAAAGAAAATCAAAAAATTTTTTTAAAGATTTTCTTTTATCATACTTTAATATATGATGGTTTTCCAAAACAAGTTATTAATGATCCTTGTTCACAATCAATTGATATAGTTGGATTATGAAATATTTCCTTTGTTTGTTTTAATAAAAAATAAACTTCACTAACACCACCTTCAAATAATGTACGAAAAAATCGAGGAATTAAAACACGTCCAATATCTTTAATTAAAAATTAAATAATTATTTTTTGTATTTCGAACATTAAAAAAAATAAAATATTCATACTAAATCGTTTAGGTCCATCTTCTAAACATATTGATATTGATAACGTTGCATCATCTTCAAAAAATTCATTTACAAATGAATCCCACCAAAAATTATCACTATCCTAAAAAGAAAATATTCTTATATGTAATTTTCAAAAAAAAAACAGACAAATTCCTTAATTATTACTTCTGTTCTCATGGATAAACGTTTATTTAAATCATATATACGATATTCTGGTGAAGTTGGAGGAGGAAATGACGGTCGAAATTGCCTCATATGTTGTGGTCTAATTAAAAAAAAAAGAAAATTATTAATAAGCGAAAAAAAAAAGAAAATTATTAATAAGCGAAAAAAAAAGAAAGCATATTGACATACGGAAAATGCAAATCACGTGGAGGCATGAGTGAAAAACGTCCTGGATGATTATGAGGAGGTAGGGATGGTGGATGTGGACCTTGCCAAATTCCACCCGAACCAGGCGAGTCAATAAGACTAGGTTGGAATCCACTTGGATCCACTTTTGATCTTCAAAAATAAATTTAATACAAATGAAAAAGAAAAAAAAAACAAACTAACCGATTTGAAATTTTCTCGACGACAAGTTTAAATAAATATATTTCTCGTTATCTATGTTTCGTCAATACCATTAATAGACACCATTCGAGAAATCTAAATTGTTTAGCATTAGAATAACATATTTTATTTCATCGTTTTTTTTTTGTCTATACGAAAATGCTAATGCCATGTTGCTCTTGTGTCATTTATCTATATCCTCCTTATCTTCTCTTTTTTGTCGAATTTCTTCCAATCGAAAAAAAAATCAATATTCAAACATCAAAAATTCATTTATGAAAAAAAAGTTGTTTTTTCTTGAAATTTTATTTTTATTAAATTCTTTTTTTTTTATTTAAAAATTATAAAATTTATTAGATAGATGTCACTAATTTTGACATGAGCATAATATATTAAATAAACCCAGTCAACCTAAAAAAAAGGAAAATGGGTGATGAAGGAGACCAGGTACACATTCTTTTTTTCTAATTTAGTTTGAACTATTTTTCTATGAATATATAGAGAACAACAACAACATCAATTGAAGAACCACTTGATCTAGTACGATTAAGTCTTGATGAAAGAGTTTTTGTTAAAATGCGTAATGAACGAGAATTACGTGGTCGTCTTCATGTAAAATAAAAATATATACAAAATAAATTTCATTATCTTATTTTTAATGAATTTAGGGTTTTGATCAACATTTAAATATGGTTTTAGGTGATGTTGAAGAAACAATAACAACAATTGAAATTGATGAAGAAACATTTGAACAAATTTATCGAGTAATTTTTAAAAAGTAAATTCGATTTATTAACTTGAATTTTCTTTTCATTTTTTTTTAGCCAACAAAACGCCAAATTCCAATGTTATTTGTACGTGGTGATGGTGTTGTATTAATTTCGCCATTAACTAAACAAACATAATTTTTTTTACCTTGAAAACACTCCTATATAATTAAAAATCGAAATAAAAACAAATTTTTTTTTTGTATAGTTTTTATTAAAATCTTAGTAATTATTTGTAGACAATGAATAGCATTCGTCTATATGCTATTTTGGTAGATTTCTGTTTGATATTTGTATTTTCTGGTTCATCTTATTTACCTGAATGGTCGTCACTTGATACAAGACCATTACCTAGTTGGTATGATCAATCGAAAGTGGGCATTTTTATACATTGGGGTGTATTCAGTGTTCCATCGATTAATTCTGAAGCATGGTAAGGGAGGATCATATTAAGTTTTTATAACTTATCGAAATATATGTAAAATTACAAAGAAACGAACAGAAATAAAATTCATATCAACTAAATCGCTGCTTTCAGATAGACAGAATGTATTCAGTCTTAACTTCGATATTTATTGATCTGATTTTTTGCTCGTTTATAATATTTACTAATCAACAATATACACCAGATTGGTCTTCGTTAGACAAACGTCCATTACCTACATGGTATGACGAAAGCAAAGTAGGAATATTTATCCATTGGGGTGTATTCAGTGTACCTTCTTTTCATTCGGAATGGTATGTATTTTTTTTTCTTGTGATATAATGAGTGTTAATTGTTTATTTATTCGTGAGTGTGTTAACGAATAAAAAATTCTCTGTGATTATATATATAGGATGTGGTGGGCATGGAAAGGAGACAATCCAAATCCTGATACTGTAGCTTTTATGAATAAAAATTATCCGCCTGATTGGACATATGCAGATTTTGCTGCACAATTTCATGCTGAACTTTATGGTAACTATACAATGAATTTTTTTGTCATTCTATAATCTACGATTTTTTCTACTGTCAGATCCTAATGAATGGGCTGATATATTTGCTGCATCTGGTGCAAAGTATATATATATTATTTATTTCTAATACTGATTATTCTAGTTTTTTTTTCATTTAGATATATCGTTCTCACAAGCAAGGTTAATTTATACTTTCATATAAAAGACATCAAATTATTATAATTATTTTGTTTTTGTATAGCATCATGAAGGTTTTACTTTATGGCCATCAAAATATTCATTCAATTGGAATGCTATGGATGTTGGTCCAAAACGAGATTTACTTGGTAGATTATTAATGATTGTTTAATTTAATAATTTGTTCTTTGTTTTCTATATTCAGGTGATCTAGCTAATGCTATTCGCAATCGAACTGATCTTGTTTTTGGTCTCTATCATTCAATGTTTGAATGGTTTCATCCATTGTATTTAGAAGATAAAAAGAATGGTTTTCAAACACAATTGTTTCCGAACGTATGTTGAATATTTCTAAAATGTTCAAGAAGAAGAAGAAGAATAATTGAATTTATAGATGAAAACATTACCTGAATTGAAAGAAATCGTTGAAAATTATAAACCTTCAGTTATATGGTCTGATGGGGATTGGGGTTTGTACATAGAAATCATCTTTATTCTTTTAAATATTTTTTT